ATACGAAACCTATTCGTGTGGAAAAGAGAAAACTTCTATACTTGATGATCTACTGGACGATAGACGAAGTATATGAATAGATATTGCACCTTACGGACTTTCGTGGCCCGTGACCTGAAATACCGACACACTGGCTTCTTAGCGCACTCTACGTTTAAAACCACAGACGAGGTATATGAATAGACGAAGCATCTTACGGGATTTCGTGACTCGTGACCTGAAATACCGATATAGTAAAAAAATCACTGGTTTTTTAGCGCACTCTACGTTTAAATAACGGTGAGTTGGGGAACTAGTGAATGCGCCTGCAATATGATTTTTTGTTCATTACAGTGTTGTCAAACTTTCAATTTCGAAATGTAAAGCTCGTCTGTGACTATACCAAGTAAAACGATAAGCAAAATGTTTAATGGTATCTCTAGATTCCAAAATACGAGATTATTATCTAAAAATTATTCTATTATATACTTATTTGTGTGTCAGAAAGAGTCCTATTCGTGTTTTACGAATTTATCGATTAGTTTTTCGTTGCAAAACGATAAAATTATTACTTATAACGGGATGTCTTATTTATTGAAATATACTTAGGGACATATATTTAGAACGGACCTGATATTTAATCAAAAAGGAGACGACATAGAAAAGATCTATCACTTTATCAAATCATGTTTTAAAATATCTATCAAAATCTAAAGTCCACGGTCTTCTACAATATTTACCAATGCACTATACGTTATCATTAAAAAATTCAATCTATAATTTTAGAAATCAACGATCTCCCTAACAACTCAACAAATTTTAATTACAAAAACCAAATCGTGCTCGCAGCCGATTAGATCATATTATTTGTTATAGTATTCATAATTGTGTCGTAGGAAAGCAATTAGTAATTGTATCACAAATGACAATGATTGCCTGGTTAAGTTTGCTATGTACCGAAACCCATCCTTGTCCCATCCATCATTCTTTTACTTCAAAAAAAATTTATTCAATAAAAAAAAAACGAAACTCCTTTTGATATGCGATTGCAAAATGTTCAGAAATTCTTATCATTGTGAAAACGAATGGCAAGAAGAGTTTTAAGGAAAAACCGATGAAAAGTCAACCAAAGCACAATATATTAAAATACAAATCAAATTTTAAATTGAAAATAATTATAATTAAGTTATAATATATAAAATATTTTACATACTTAAAGAAAAACTAAAAATTGTTTCGCGATAACTGTATCATTCTATAGAATATGCTAATATTCAATTAAAAACCGTCTTAC